TGGTTGTGTCACACGGTGACACTGAACCCTATGCACCTGGCTCTAACTTTATTTAGTGAAGTCCAGTGTGATGGAAGCACAGCTCACTGCGTCAGATATGCTGATATACACAGCATATATGCTGATATACACCACAGCACTAACAACACTGTTTTGATTACAGAAGCACAGACTGATCGAGGTTGGAAGAGACCTCCTAAGATCATCTTTACCCTGATAAAGCAGGAACAGCTACAGTAGGTTGCCCAGGTGGCTTTTGAATACCTTCACCGTAGCCTTACTCTGACCGGCCTCACAATAGAACTATTTACTTATATACATACAGAATTTTAGGTGTTTCAGTTTTTCCCCATTGCTTTCTGACCTATCAGTGGGCACTACTGAGAAGAGTATGGATCCCTCGTCTTCATTCCCTTCCATCCAGGTTTTTATACACATTGATAAGATCTCCCCTGAGCCTTCTCTTCTCCAGGCTGAACAATCCCAGATCTCTCAGCCTCTCTGCATATGAAAGATATGCCAATCCCTTAATTTTTTATTTAGGTTCACTCTTTTCCTTTCAGGGAATGCATACCTTAAAGTAACCATGTGCACTATTCCTCTGTCCCAGCCAAAAGGTTGTACCTGAAGGTAAGTCCATGAAGGGTTTCTCTACAACTCTTTCATAAATTCTGAAAAGGCAGGAAAAAAATAAAGTCCCAAGTTGTTATTTCATTTACACTGACCTGAAATGTTCCAAATGTGACAATTTCTTATAAAACAATGCTCTTTACTTACTTATTGCAGTCCACATGTAAAATCAAGTGAGAGGCACTGATTGCTAAGGAAAGTCTGTGCCATTTATCATCTGCCAAAATGTATGGGAATACTTCTGTGTGGGAGCGATGACTGCCTGAACGATAATGCAACCTGATTTCATTTCGATGACCGCTGCTTTCCAGCTCCAGGTACCTGGACCATAAATGCATCATCATGTCACAAACCATTCTTATCAGCACAGCAACATTTTACATAACACAACTTCTCATTATCATGCAGGAACTATTTAAAAGAGAGGGCAAGACAAGTGAGGAGATACAAAGATGAGAGCAAACACTTCTCAGAATTGTACTGCATCCTTCTTCTCAAAAACACATAACAGCAAGTTCCAAATTTCATGTAGGAACACAAGATCCCAGGCCAAATATTTTTTCCCTCTAGCAACACTGTTTCCATAACATGATCTGATTGGAAATATAATTACCCTATTACAAATAATTGCCTCATATCCTGAAAGCACAGTAAGGATACTCAGACGGCATGAATGCACAAAAGACAACACCAAGTTTTGCAATAGGAACATCATTAACCATCACCAACCAGGGCAGTAAGCAAGAACTGAGAGTGAACACTGCTTTGTTTGCTTTCAGATGTACTGCTAACACCGCCTTCCATTTTTTGTAACTACATTTCTCCAAATACAAAATCAAGAAGTGCAACTCTTCAGAACAATTTAAATACATGTACATCTTTGCTTTGTTAAATAAATATGTGCATTTATGGTGTGTATATATATACACACACATGTATGTATATGTATGCATATGTGCACATGGTAAAAAACCAGTATTGCAGCTGTACCAAGATAAGTGCACCACACACCCGATTTGCAGATTGCAAACACAAGCCTTGCTGCTGAAATTCCAGCAGATCAATTTAAAAAGTGCTCCATAACCAAACTTGGTACTTAGTCAGACAAGCCTATTTCTTGCATACTGGACCTCTTTTGGGAACAAGCTTGACAAACTATTTGTCTTTTAAGTACTAAGTTTCTCATTTTAAAGTCCCCCTCTAAAATGCTTTTAAAACAGGAAAGAAAAACAGAAATGGAGATTCTCTAATAATCATATGCAACCTACGGCTAAAGAGTAAGGAAAATAACATAGTATGTGGTGAGATGGACAACTAGGAGAATGGACAATTCACTTTTGTCTATTTTTGCTGCTACATCCACAATCAGGCTTGACAGTGGTTTGTAATCTGAGTGCACACATGTTTTAGGGCGACGTCATTTACTTTAACAGGCTTATCTATATTAAAGAACAGACAAGACAATGATTGCAGATTTCAAGAAGATGAGACCAAATCAAAAGCATCTTGTACAGTTATTTTCCCTAGGAGGAGGCTGGGCTCACTGCACAATTCTCCCTCCTTCAGGGTGTTTTCCAGTGGAACATACATAGCAACAGCACAAAAACAACGAGCCTTTTGCAAAACTGGCAAAGGGCAATTCCTCCTTCCTCCCTAGTGTTAGCAAAGCAGTTAACTAGAGTCAGCAATAAATTTTATAATCTGAGATAATTTACCTCCTCATGGCCCAAAAATAATTTTTGCATTGGCAAGAAACGTGAACTAATTGAAGGTCTGACTGGAAAAAAATTGGACAATAGTGGCAGGACATCAGTCAACTTAATAACCTCCTTCATAACCCAAGCTTCAAGGATAAAAATAAGGTCACTCTCAACCTAATAGAGAAGGGGAACATTATGGAAGTGGACTACTCCAGCAACTTTTTAATTGTCTCCACCCAGGTGCAGATAGAATCTGGAAAAAGAAAGGCATAGATGTGTTGAAACATTATCTTCTGGTAGAACTAACGGCTACCTCCTACTTTCTTCAAAGTCAATGGCAGAGCTGAAGCATGCACACAGAGAAGCAGTCAGACAGGGAACAAACTACAACAGCAGACTACTAGAGAAGGCATAAAATGACCACTCATGTTGCCCCTTATGCAGGTGAGATAATGAAATCCCTGAGAATGAAACATGGATTTCCCAATAAAAAGAAGACATTGCTGTAAAAATTTCAGGAATTAACTGCTGAGAGAGGATGCTAACATTTGGTGACGCTGCAATAAGCAAGGAAATCTTCCCACACAAAGCTGTGCAAAAATTATGAGGCTTTTGTTTTAACTGTGATTAGTGTGCTGTTTTGAGATCCACAGGCAATCTCTTTTGTTCTTCCATTTCGTAAACTAACAAATACATCTACCTTCTAAAGGCTTGATGATTGTTACAGAAAACATGCATTAAAATGAGAAAGAAAATAATAGCTATTAGGGTAATTATTGGAAGAACAATTTATGGTTCACTAATTATTTGTAGAGATAGCAGCAAAAAGCAGTTAGAAAACCAAGTGGAATGACAGCCAGAACAATATTGCCTTCAGCTTCAACTAACGTCATGACACTGAGACACAGGGGAGCGAAAGTGAATAATTTTAACTTCATTTTATACAAAATATTGTGCTTGCTATTCCACTTTTCTAGATTTGCTTAACTGCCTGGACTTAAATGGCTCTGGCTTAGTCTTGAGATCTTCAGAAGACGGGACAAGCCTCAGCACTGACAAACAGATATGGTCGGAAATGCAAAGTCTGCAGTGTGGCTTCTCATAGCATCTGTGAGGCTGTAACATTTGGGTATGTGCTGCCCAAAGGTTTGGAAGAGTCTTTGAGGAAGTAAGCTAAGCATTAAAAAATACACCTGGATTTTAAAAAATAATTTACAGTGACAAAAAAAGCACTATGCTTCTCTGTACACTCAGGATTACTCAACTTTTAAAAGAGAAAAGAGGGTGATCCTGGGTCCTAAAGGACTTATTCCCAAAGGAAACAATCGTACCACAGTCTTTCAACCAAGAAACGTCATTATTGAAAAGTTTCAGGGGAACCTCATCAATTGAATCACTGGTTTCTTGCCCACATTAGCCCAGGCCACCCATCTCAGGGAGAGTGTCAGCCAAAGAATTCCCATTACTAATGTCACTGCTGCTTCTCCCATCAGCTCCAAGGCGCTTGTCTATGCTGTGAGAGAAAAACGGCTCTAAGTAAAAGCTAAACCACAATGAGCAACACAGTACCACAGAACTTGATTCTCCTTTTACTGACATCCATGATCTCTGTAGTTCTTTAATCAATACTGGCATGCTTGATTTTAACCCCCCAAAAACCACACACACTTTGGGTCAAATGGATTTAACTTCATAGGGAGATGATACGTGCTTAGGTTTACTATGTTTGACATACAGAGAAGAAAATGCCAACCTGAAAAAAAGAGGTTGTTACATCTCCATAGATCACTCCATGCATGCACAATCACTGCAAAGGCAACAGCCAAGGCCACTGTGATCAGCCGCTCTGCTTGGAAACCAGCCAGACAGTGATCCCTTAGGTACTGACTAAGGCTAAGCCTATCTTCAGAAGAGGAAATTTGTCTCAAATGCCCCAGAGGAATCTGAGACAGAAAACAGCGATGTTCTCTCTGATGCCCAGCACTGATCTATTGTAACTGCTGGGTAAGAGTTCAGAGTCAGCAGATCTGCTCAACTGTGGAGCTGCTGCCATCCATCCTGGAGAAGGACATGAGGTCTGCAGGAGCCTGAGCAGGATCTGCTCTTCAGGCTGGACAGACCAGAGCAGGGGAGACCACATTCAACAATGCTTTGAAAACTATTTGCTCTTTTCCATTATTTGATGACTGGGCAGTCATGAGTATGAGTCTTATTTTTCTATTTAGAAGTAACAATTAAAGTGTTCTGAAACATTAACTAAGAGTTTTTTAGTCCATGGTGTATCTCCTAGAACACTATGGCATCAAAATATCCCCAGACGGATTCTAAATGCAAGTGGCAACTGCACTATACCTGCAAAAACCTAGTCCCCACAACTCACACTACCACTTGGCCTTACTGGCCTTGCCCTTTTCCCTGCCAGTCTAGTGCTCTACCTATGCAAAAGATGTCTCGAGGTTTTGCTAAGAAGTGATAATTTTTTTTTAAAAATGATCTTTACTTTTCTGGATAAGCTGGTAGCACTTTGTGCAAGTGTACAGTGGGCAGGAAAGACACCAGTTCAGTTTCTTTTCCTTTCTTTTGCTGAATAGAGTTTTAGAGAAAGACAAGAATTTTCTGACATAGGATATTTTTGTTCCAAAACACTGATCCATTCATTAAAACCAAATCTTTTGATAGAAACAAACGTTCTCGCAGCAAGGCTTACAGGGTCCAGAATGAAATGCTTGTTAAAATGAGAGACAGAGACAACAAATCTGAAAGACTTTCCCAAATACTCTTTAATGCCACAGTTATTACCTATCTGAAAGGAGAGACTCCAACTGAAGTTGAAACCAGAAGAAGGTATTTCCCATATCAAAACAGAGTGCACAAACAACAGAACAGTAAAACCAGTCTCTCAGGTCAACCTGATAAGGCTCTCCCATCAGGTAGAATCCAATCAAAAAGACTAAGTCAGGTACAAGAGCAACCTAATTTCAGTAAGCTGATGTCAAGTCTCATGCCTATGCTAAAAAATAAAGCCAGCAAGGCCCATTCCCTGGCCCTGAAGACAAATATTAACAGTGGTTCTCCACTACAATTCACATCCATATGGGCACTCTCTCCCACGTTTTCCCTGAAATGGGTGGGGATTTTTTCCACACTGCCTGTTGGGAACAGTCTCTGGCCAATGCTGCCCCACAGACCATGCCCTGGTATCGTCTGCAAGGGTGCTAATTGAAGAAGACAAAAGCATGCCAAGGAGGATGCTGACAATTATGCACAATAGACAGAAGCAGACCAGTGCTCCAGCCTGGGCACTGTTTACTAGCACAGCCCTGGCCAGGCACTGCCAATGAAGCTTTTTACTGCACTGGGGGTGGAGAAGAAGAAAAAAAAAAAGAAAAAAAAAGAAAAAGAAAATGGCACTCCTCAGGACACTTGGCTCAGATGGGAAAGAACCAAGTTCAAGTTCCTGCTCCAAAACAGGCACAGAAGAGATTAACGGTGCGAGAAAAATGCCTATGAAGCACCCCTGCCAGTGAGCTACTGATCATCCTGGCATTTACATCTCTTCTGCTGTTCATTTTCTTCCACCACAAAAAAGGTCAACCCCTTCAGCTTCCTTCCAGCACACCA